TCTGCCTAGAACACTTGCAGGCCAATCTTGTAGCTCTGCCACCCACCCACAGCATTAACATGCTCCTTCCCATCCAGGCTATGCCCAAGCTTCTCACGTCCCCTCTCAAGGGCACCAAGGCCAAACCTCGGCTTCAGGAGACTAGGCAGTGTGTCAACACTGACAGAAAGAAACAAGGAATTGTTGCAAGATGATTTGATTTAAAAAAGAAAGAACTCTATTACTAAGTAGAAAAAAAGAGATTTAAGGCCTTAATAAGCTGTAGTTACCTACACTAAATCCAATTAACCATGTATTTCTAGCTCTGCTCTTATACCAGCAACTTACTTTCACACACAAACACACACACGTATAATCTGTCTCCCTCTTCATGGAAAATTTTCCATATCGGTTTAAAAAGAAAAGAAACACAGAAAGAGACAAGGAAAACAAATGCACAGGCCCAAACCAAACCGTCCAAGCCATGTTTTTCATTTTCATGATAATTATTTTATTCCTGCTGTGCTTTTCTCCCTATAATTTAACGGGTATAAGACAAATGTACCTCTTTCCACTAACTGCCTCTAAATTTACTCAACTGGTACTAGAAAGAAGAACTTAACTTCACAATAATTGAATTTAAATAACATCCAATTCCACAAAGTTGAACATGATCTGCATAATAAACAAACCAAGCTCTATGAAGGCTGGTGGAAAAAAAGGTCATATTTTATGTGTATATTCATAATCCTATCTGTATTTTCAGTGACCTAATGTACAAAACACTGTCCGTTTGTCTTTCTGCATAACTCATCATTACCAAAGAGCTAAAATTAAAGGCTGATCTGACTCCAGTAGTCTGCCTGACTCAATAGAAAAATATCATTTTAATAAGCTGTGGCTGGCCAGAATTGGGCTATTTGCATGCAATAGAGGGCTGGGCCTGTTTCCAAGGTTCCAGGCCATCAGCCTGAAATGTAGGAGATTCCAGGTCACTGTGTCCTCTTTCCCACAAGTCAGGCCAAGCCAAGGGCACAAGTCAATAAGTTAAGGGACAAATACTCAGTTGCCCCTGGGATCAGCCCTCTACAGTCCCTGCACACTGGCAGAGGGATGCCCAGCTTTAGTTGGGCAAAACCTTCATGTTATTTGAAAGAATTGTGGTGAGATTCTACAAAAATTCATTTTAAGTCACTGTAATTAATGTGTCATTCAGTGTATTTAGGGGACACAGCAGTTGTTACAAGGGTAAATGAGCTATGATGGTGTGTTACACTTCACACGTGTTCTGAATCACAGCCCTAGGCACTTAGAACCTTCTGTACAGCTGACTCTTACAAAGTAAAAGAGCAGGGCCTTTCCTGGGTGTCAGCCACAGCTCTGCCACCCTCCGGCAGGTGACCTTGGGCTAAACTACCGAAGTCTTGATTCCTTGGTTCTCAGAATTTAGCATATATAAGAATCACCTGGCCAGGAAGACAGTGTAGCACAGAGAAGACAAGAAGTGACTGTGGCGTATTGCTACGCTGATGGAGAGTGACTGTTGTGGGGTGTGTGTGGGGGACTCAATAATATGGATGAATGTAGTGATCACAGTGTTGCTCATGTGAAACCTCCGTAAGATAGTGTATCAAATGATACCTTAATTAATTAAATAAATTGCAAAAAAAAAAAAAGGAATCACCTGGGAGCTTGCTAAGAATTCAAGATTCCCAGTTTTCTTCAGAAATTCATATTCCATGTAGACCCACACTTCCTCTCCTGAAGCAAATTTGGCTAGCAGTCACTTTGTAAAACTCTGGGCCAGATAGATACTTTTGGCAAAGCTTCTGATTCCTACATCACTCTAAGTATACAAAGTATTACATGCTCTTATGTATGCAAAGATAAAAATAAATACCAATAGCTAAAACTTATTGAGCACCTACCACATGTCAAGCCCTGTATGCAAGCTTTGACTGCTGGGTTCAAATCCTGGTTCTTCCATTTACTAGGTGAAAGACATTGTACAAGTTACCTACCCACTCTGAGCCCCATCACCCATACCTATACTGCTTTACAAATCCTGCTGTTGCTACGGTTGCCTCTTTTACAAGCTCACACTTACTGAACATGTGCTGGGAACACATATTGTTTTAAGCACTTGTGGGGAAAATGGAAGTTCCTATAGCCAGGATCCTCACCTGACCCTAAACTACTTGATGATATAACTGGCCGGCTGCTGGGCCACTGCTTCAACACCTGTAGGCAATGAACTGTTAGTGACTGAGTCACTGTATAAAGAGCTCTGCCCAGTGCTCTGGGTGGGGAAGAGGCCAATTGGGATTACAGGCCTGCAGGCTGCTGGATGCAGACGTGATTCTCATGCTGACCTACCACCAGGAGAATAAGGCCAGGTATAAACCCTTTTACCCAAGAATGCTCCATTGTCATTTGTGGGTCTCCCTGAGTCCATAGTGAACTTGCCCTGGGCTGAAACCCTCAGGCAAGACAGCACTTGGCATGAATGAGGCAGTAGAGCATGGTTACTGTGGCCAGTGGACCCAGACTGGCTGGTCCGATTTGCTCCACCATTTATTAGCTATGTGACCTGGGCAAGTTTGCTCAGAGGTAAAGTGGGACCAAAGATGCTTTTCCTGCCTCCTTGGGTCGCATGACGATTAAGTGAGATAATATACCAGGAGAAGTATTTAGAACCCTGCCTAACACATAGTGGGTGCTCATTGGAGATCATTATTTATTTTCTCTCATGTACCTACTTATCCTTACTGAGTCTCTTCACATCCTTACCAAAGAGGTAGGGAGAGGATGCTGCTCCCTGGCACTGTGGACAAGAGGTCTCTGCGTTGGCTGCCCTACCAAGCACCTCCTTTTACCACCTTGTGAATGAAGCTCATCAGTCTGCAAACTGTGAGTACTTCAGCTGCTGGGGGCCTGCATAACGAGTATAAGGCAATAACAGTGATAAAGGCCGGGAGTCTCCAGGTGCTGCCAGCTGCCCTGTTATTTCAGGAGAGGAAAGAACAAAACAGATTCCCCAGCTCCCATCCAGCTGGTAGCCTCTCTTACAAACCATCCTCCCAAGCTTTCTTCCCTTACATGCCTGTGTTTCTACCTCTTGTGATGGGGTAAACGAAAAAGTCTTAAACCATGAGTCTTACAACCAACACTCCCCTATCACCCTCCCCCTTTCAGGTAAGACTGTGAATTTGTGTGTTACTGGGGCCAACTGGGGGCTTTATGATGCCCTTAGAAATAGAGGAAAGGAGGAGAAGGGAAAGCAGGGCAGACAGGCTAAAATCTTCTGCATAATGAAGATTAGCAAGGGAAGGGAAGAGAGGAAAAAAGAGATGTTTGCCTTTTAGTTTCCTCTGCCTGCTTTATAAAGAGATTGCAGTAAACACTGGAACGTGTTTTCAATTGTTTCTCTGTATGGGGCTTGCATTTCTTTCTGATGAGCTTCATTTTGAATATGTTCCATTTAGACCGAAAAACCTGAAGCCCTGAGAGGGCAGTGGCCTTTCCTAGGGTGGTGCAGTGGGACAACACTGAAACAGTGAAAAATGACAGATCCTTCCTGCTCTGGGTAGGAGCTCAAATCCCTGTGGAATTGATGCCTCTCAGTGGGTGACACTCATTCCAGAGCCTACTGAAACCCCGGCCCAGTGCTTTTCACACATCTCAAGGAAACATACTATTCCTGAAGTCTTGTCTCTTGGCTCCAGTTCCCCGACAGTCATGAGCAGGCTACATAGAATTGAAATTACTGTGGTGTGTGAATAGACCCCGGTCTGTTGACTCTGAGCTTCTGCTAAGCTGCTGCAAGTGGTGGTTGTAACTTCTGTCATCTTGGCAATTTTACTTTTTGTTTGAAAGAATTCTATATTCCTTAATTCTGAGAAGGTGTGTGGTCTTCAAAGGTCTTCCTCTCTATCCCCCAGATTCTGGTCAGGCTGCCTGCCTCCAACCCTGCAGATTGAGTGGTCCTATATGGAGATAATGCTGGGAAGGGTTCCCCCAGAGCCTGCCATGCTTACCAGTGCCTCCCAGTTTGCCCTTTTGCATCCACATGTGAAAGCAGATGCAGGACAGACCAGAGCTCATAGGTGAGCCCAAGCCTCTGCACCCAAGGCTCAGCACTGTTTCCCTAGAAAAAACTGAAACTATAGCCCACAGCAGCCTTCATGGAGGAGCCATCCAGGGGCCTTGGTTGAGCACCTGATCTCAGCCCTGGTATTAAAAGCTCCAGCTGGCTCTAGCCCAGATACACATACACACTAGCATGTGCTTTCTCAGACTTGGCCGTGGTTTTTACACCGGCATTTCACTTAATTAGTGACTGGTATGTAAAATATTACTTCCTTTGATTTGCCTTTAACCTCTTTTGGGTAATAAGGTGGTTAACCAAGCAATCAAGACTTGCTGTTTTCAATCATTTTTTGAAATATGGTAATCCAAGTCCACATTCCCACTTTCCTTGTACTTCATGATTGTTTAAAACTTCATTCATCTTCCCCTCGGGAACCATCCATCCACACTAAAAGTCTTTTTTTAGATCCTATTCTCATGTCATACATCATTTCAGTCACTTTTTTCTGCACTGTCCCCGGTCTCTCAGATTTTTAGGTGAGGTTTCCTGCTATGACAAAGATAGCCAAGGATCCATATGTCCAGAGGCTGAGGGAGAAAAGGTTGCATCTTAAAAACATGTAGAGATTTCATATAAATCAGATTTTCCTCATAACTATAGCCCACCCAACATACACATACTTTTCTCCAAATCAGAAATGTAATATACATTCAGTTTCTAACTTGTATTTTTCCATTCGCACTATGTCATGAAACATTTCTCATGGTGACCGACGATTTCATGGATCATTTCCATGATTATTTCCTTAGAGAACAGTTCTGGAAGGGAATTGCTAATTTAAAGGGCATGGACACTTTGTGTGTGTGTGCCCAGTTGGACTTTTTTGTGTATGTGTGCTTTCTTATTCCCCTCACCGTCCCCACCCACTTACCCCAGACCCTCCCCCATGGTAACCACCAGTTCCTTCTCAGGGTCTATGAGTCTACTGCTGTTTTGTACATTTTGTTTTGCTTTGTAGTTACATTCCACAAATAAGTGAAATATGATATTTGTCTTTCTCTCTGCCTTGCTAACTTCACTGAGCATGATACCCTCTAGATCCAGCTCTGTTATTGCAAATGGCAGAATTTCTTTTTATGGCTGAATAATATTCCACTGTGTGTATGTACCACATCATCTTTATCCATTCATCTATTGATGGACACTTAGGTTGCTTCCCTGTCTTGGCTATTGTAACTAATGCACCAATAAGCATAGGGCTGTATATATCTTTTCGAGTCAGGGATTTTGTTTTCTTTGGATAAATTCCTAGAAGTAGAATTACTGGGTCAAATGGTATTTCTATTTTTAGTTTTTTGGGAACCTCCATACTGCTTTCTATGGTGGATGTACCAATTAACATTCCCACCAACAGTGTAGGAGGGTCCCCACAAAGTGCATGGACATTTTTAAGGCCATTGATACATGGTACCAAATTGGTCTTAGAAAGATGACACCATTTTCCATCCATATCATTACAGTGTTCAGTATCCCTTTTCACTCTCATGGGTAACTATGAGTACTACCATGGCCGTGACCACGAGAAGGAAGGCTCATAAAATACAGGCAGTCTATTCCTTTCTACCTTTCTTCCCACTGTAGGGAAGGAGCAGAAGGTGGCCGCCTGCTTGGGCAGAGTTAAATTCAGAATTTGCAGCAATGCAACCGAGGCAGTCTTGGGGGAAGAGTCTCAGCCATGAAAGCACGAGAGGGCATCTAGCCAGCTGGAGGCTGCAGAATCTTAGCCTGGGTGCCAACGGGTCTTTTCCTTCTCCAGGGAACTGATGGGTAACAGGGAGGACTCAGAGTACTCTTGTTAGGAGTCTCAGTGTAGCTCAGTCTCCAAGATGGCAGAATACAAGGCAAGACACCTGGGGGCAAAGGGTCCCACATTTAAGACCCTTCACCTGGATAACTGCCCACCATTGCCCTCTAAGATACCTAGGTATGGGTATCTACACTACATTCCTCTCAGTAATGCCCTTATGTGACTGGGCAACATTGCTGTTAAAATGTATCATAATCTAAACTTATTTTTCCTGCTATAATTTCTGCCTTTCCCTGATGAATGGGCAGTGCATAGGCTTTGAAATCAAATAACTTCTGGCTCTGCCGTTTACTAGCTGTATCAGTTAGTTCAGCCTACTAACCATCCTCCTGCATATGCAGCCCCAAAATTGGTGGCTTAAAATAACAACGATTCATTATGTTTCACAAGTCTACCAGTGGGCTGAGTAGGTCTGCTGATCTGGTTTGGCTGGGCTTGGCTGGGCTCTCTCATGCACCTGTGAGCTGGCTAGAAGCTGGGCAACCTAGGATGGGCCCACCTCTGCTCATGTCTCTTGTCATTCGCATTGCCTGGGCTTGTTCACGTGTTGACGGAAGAATTCCTGCCTAAAAGAGACGGTAAGACCAATGCACAGGCTCTTTTCAAGCCTCAGCTTGCACCAAGTTTGCTAATGCGCCATTGGCCAAAGCAAGTCATGTGGCCTACTCCCAAATCTGTGATCAAGCATTACCAAAAGTCAGTGACTACAGGGAAGCATAAAAATGGAGGGCCATTGGTATAACCAATCTATCACATTAGTTGTGTGATCCTGGACAATTTCCTTAATCTCTCTGAGTCTTAGTTCTGTCGTCTGTGAAAATGCAGTTTCTTGGAGGATTCCTTGCTATAATACATGTATGGTGTCTGGCACACAGTAAACACTCCATATGTGTTTCTTTCTCTGCTCTTCTTCCATCATTTGGACTTCGTCTTTTTTCTTAAATGCATTAATTCTATGCATTACCATTTACATTCAAAGCTTCAACATAATTACAGTGCACATAGGCTCCTGTTCAATCCCCAGCTCCTAGCCTTTGGCTAACACAGGAGGCCCTCAATTCATTCCAGTCATCTGGAAATTGGATACAAAGGTAATCAAGTGGTCTCCCCTCCCTTGATCCATAGGACTGTCCGGTTGAGAGAGGACCTCTTGACTGTCTGATTCAGCTCTACTACCAAGAGTAAAAAACAAAGAGTTAATATCTCTGCCTTAATGGATGACTCTGAATAGTTTCCTAGTTTAAAAGTGGCCTCGGGGGTAGGATAAGTATTTTAGCCTCTCCTTAGCTAATCAGGCTCCAGAAGAGACATTAATTGCAGCCAGTCTGTCCTGCTGGGGAGACCCAAGGCTGCCAACTCCCTTGCTGGGAATGGAATAGAATTTTAATTGGCTGTGAAAGCAGCATGGCAGGAGGTGCAGGGAAGAGATGGTCCTACCCCTCTGAGCAGGTGAGAGAAGCTTCAAGGGGAAGGCCCTGGGGAGGTGCATGGCAGCAAAGAATGGCTACTTTCAGGGGCCATCCCAGCTGCAACACCACTGTTCCAGTTCTAGGGCTGGACTACAGCCAGGGCCAAGGACTTCCTTACCCAGTGTTCTTAGCGGGGGCAGCCCAGGAGCAGCAGGCTGTAAACCCTCTCATCTCTGTGCTTCCCCTGACTCTCATAAGGGAAAGCCTGCATAGTTACTATCACTGGTACAGCTAAGGAAGCCAGTAGCCCCTACCTCAGAGAAATCTCCCAATGTAAGCTCATCCCCTTACAAGCTCATCCCCTGTGTGTGTGTGTGTGTGTGTGTGTGTGTCCATTTGTCTGCTTGTGTGCTTTGAAGCAGTGGCACAGCATTCCTGTGTTGTTCAGAGCAATGTTAATATGTTTTCCTCAAGTAAATTAATGTGATAAGGGTTGGGGAAGTATGTTCTGGCAATGTGTGTGCTTTCTGCCATGGCAATTCCTGGAACACACATATAATATGGAATGACAGATGTAGGTCAGTGGATGTGACTATGAAAAACAAGACAATATCAGCTGGTTAGCATAGATGTGGAATGATCCATGCTGTGGTTTTTGGAGACAATTAGGCAAGTTATTTAACCTCCTGGTGCCTCAGTTTCCTCATCAATGAAATAAGAGCAATAGTAGAACTTATCTATTAGGAGTTTTGGAAAAAAATAATGAAATATAAAGAGCTTAGAATAATGCAGAGACTCAATAAATGTGTCTCCATGATTATGCCTAGTGAAGTGGGGCTGGGGTTGGTCATTGACCATTTGTCCTCTGTTGACCTAGTGGCATAATGAACCTGTTGGCAAAAAGCAGAGGAGCAAAATATATACAAGCAAAATCAACACTGTCAGAAAACTGTTTTATGTTTGCGAAGAAACCCTACTTCATTAATACTTTAAAACTTCAAGCAATAAAACATCATTTATTATGACTAAACAGTTTTATTTTTGTGTATTTTGGTTTTCATTGTCAGATTTTTATTGAAAACTTAGCACACATTTAGTTAGGAGAGGAGAGATGAATTGGAGGCCACTGTTGGAAGTGGAATTTTATAATTCATAAAGATATGAAGATGAGCTTCTAAAACAAAACAAACAAAAACTCAGTTCCATTTCTACTGTCTCCCCCAATCATGCCTCCTGTCTCCTCACTGGGGAATAAGAAAGCTTTCTGGTTTAAGCTCAGAACATAGGAATGAAAATAGCCAGACTGAAAGAAGTGACCATTTCGGCATCTTCTCTGAAGTGGTGAGAACTTCATCTCCTACAAAAGCAGACAGAAATCCTTGACTTTTGGGGAAAAGATCCTGAGGAAGAAGGCATTGATTCGCCCTTAGAAGACAGAACAGGGCCCCCATTACTGGCAACACCCTTTCCCCTCCAGACCTCTTCCCCTAGATCACAGCTGGGTGCCCAGCCTCCCATGCCTAATCTCTCCCAACTTGGACCATCGATGTTCGGCAAATTAGTAAGGCAGTCATTTAACAAAGTAATTGGTTGTACACATCAGCTCACCCCTTCAAGGGTTACTTATTCTCACATTTCCTGTGTCTGAAATAGATTGGTAGTGTCAGTGGAGATTGATCCTGTTCTTTCGCCTCTGTTCAAGGAACTCAAAAGGGTGACTGGGCCACTTGACTAGGGGTCAGGCTGCAGGCGGCAATGCAAGTGCCCCAGAGCATTCAGGTGCTCAACACAGGCACATCCCCAATGGCGTAAGGGAGGACGCAGCGGCTATGGGGGTGTGCTGGGTAAAAGCCTGTCTTGGAGTCCTGGCCCTCCACTGGGCAAGTCTGTTTCTCTTTCTAGACCTCTGTTTGCTCATTGTTTAAATGGGGATGTTGGATCAAACACTCTCTATCAGTCTCTGACAGTATCTGACTTTTTAGGAGTTTATGAACTATGCAAAGGCCCTGTAGATGCAAAACAACTCAACACAGGATTCCAGGAATTGCCTGAAGATGAATTAGACCAAAGGCAGAGAAACAGGAGCTGTCTGGGACTGAAGGGAGCACACTGCATGGGCAGATGAGGATGTCTCCTGGAAGTGGCACTGCTAACCAGAGGACAACCCCCTGCCCAGCCCAGAACCCCAAAGCAGGGGACCCAGGGAGAGCTGTTTAAGGCTGTGCATCTGCAGCACAGCAGTGGAAGAACCAGGTATGGGAATCCTCAGGGTACTGGAAGTATTTGCTCCCTGGATTAGAGAAGGGTAGATTTCTATTGCTTGCCCCTAATTATTTTTAAAGAGCACATGATTCACTTCCTCATGCCCCCATATCTCTAAGCAAGCTTATCTTCTGTTTGGCTTCTCAGCTATGTAAGAACCTAAAATGAAATCCTTTGATGTGGGAAGGTAAGCACACTAGGTATTGAAAGGAGTGTCTTCCACTGTAAACATAAACCAGGCTTTTTGTTCTCTCTCTTGGTTTCTTACAAATTTTCTTGGCCTGAATTATTTCTTTTCAGAATATGATCACCCAGAGTAAAAGATCATTAAATCAAAGTTCCAGACTTTCCTCAGCCCAACCTTGCAGGCCGGCGGGGAGCCGAGTTCCTCTTCGGTTGGTTGCCCCTTT